TGTTATTAATGTTACAGCTTTATAGTATGGGGGAAAGAAGTTTGACGCTTGTACAGCCAATCTAGAGTTTCATGTTGTTAACAGGCATACAGAACTCATGCGCAAGTGAATTTCCCCATTCACTTAAACTCTGCCTGTGCAAAGTTGTCCACTTAAGTGAAGTGAATGCGAGTGTCTTTGTGGGTGGGAGAGGGGTGTGAGTCTGCTAGAAGTTCTGTACGCTGGTGGGGCCATTGGATTCACTTTTGGCCAGAAAAGGTAGCCGAGCTGTTCCCCTGCTTGGAGTGACCCCTCCTGTGACAGGTGGTTGTGACGGCTGCGCCTGATGGCTGGCTGATGTGTGGCGGAGACCAAGGTGTGGGATGGTGAGAATAGAAGTCGTTTCATTGTGGTAGAAACTTCAGCTTAACTTTGTTAGATGAGGTGGTTTTAGGCAACTTCCCCTGCCAACATACACATGTTGAAAGAATGTGTTTGTGGGGGGTTTCGCCAGCTGCACACCCTGCTGAAGTCAAGTCTAAGAACCACACCCCCACTGCCTACATGTTCAGAGTGTGTCAGAAGCATGCGTTACAGTGTACATGGATCATTTTCCATGTGAGGAAGGATCCCGAACCAATCCGTAACCTGCCTCATGTAGAGATGCTCTGCATATGTATCTATTTCTTCCAGTACAATACTTTTTGACCGGATGATGCATGACAGATGGCCATCTAACCTCTGCTTTAAAACCTCCAAGGAAGAAGAGTCCACCACCTCTCATGGGAGTCTGTTCCACTGTTGAACAGCTCTTACTGTCAGAAAGTTCTTCCTGGTGTTTAGATGCAATCTCCTTTCTGGTAACTTGAATCCATTGGTTTGGGTTCCAGCCTCTGGAGGAGAAAGCAAGATTGCTCCATCCTCCATGTGACAGCCCTTGTGATATTTGAAGATGGCTATCATATCTCCTCAGTCCCCTCTTATCCAGGCTAAACATACCCAACTTCCTCAGCCATGCCTTGTAAATCTTGGTTTCCACCATTTATCATCTTGGTCTCCCTCAGTTTAGATACTATGTTGTGTTCACGGCAGATCAGATTTCCAGAGATACCAGAGCTCGGGCCATTTGTGTGTTTTAGTGTTTGTGAGATTGCCGTAGGTTTTTAATGAATAAAACTTGCTTGGCTGAAAGGCACATGGGAAGACGGAGGAATAAAGAGGAATTATTAAACTGAAACATGAAGGTTGATTTCTTTAAAAAAAAGGTTTATTGCAAAATTCAGTGTTTGGTAGCACTTCCAGAGTTCACTAATTACAGTACAGAACAAACCAGCAATCCATGTTATAGCCTGATTTTGGATCTTTTGTGCACACAAATATGCTCTTAGTCATGCTAATATAGTATGTACTTGGAACAATAACTTACGATGTGGTCTGTTATACACATATTATTTAGTAATGGAAATCCTTGTATAAAGAAGAAGATACAGTAGAACCTTGTTAAGCTGCAGGACCAGCTAGGTTTTCCGCACAAACACAGAATGTGCTCCTTAACCGTTTTATCTTCAGCAAAGTTGTAACAGCAAAAAGTACTGTACTGAGGTCTTTTATTACGGAGATGTCATTAATTTAGCCAATTAATTTAGTATGTTAACTTTTCTAGAGGTATAGTGACAAATAATTCATAAGGTAAGCTTCCTAAATAAATAAATAAATAACACATTTTGCAAACATAAGTTTCATGTTTTGTTCATTTACTTGCTAGTTCCAGAAAAGTGACCCACCTCCCCATTGGGGATGGTGCATGTCTCCCACTTACGGCTGCAATTTATCAAGGTTCTGCTGTACATTATAAAGTGCTGAAGTTATTCAAAGCACACTAAACTGCAGTTGTTTTCATGCAGTTTTCATGCAGTGAGGGAGGAGGGTGGATTGCAAAAGCCACTCCTAATGATAGAGGACCCTTCCCCGTGTTTTTTGGGGGGGGGCAGCTTAACACCCTGAATTGAAATGACTCGAGTGGAACATACTTCCAAATAAGTATGCTTAGGTTTCAGACTGGTACAGTGGTACCTCCGGTTGCAGATGGGATCTGTTCTGGAGGTCCGGTCGGATCCCAAGGTTTCCACAACCTGAGGACCCCTTCTGCGCATGTGGCGAAACCTGGTAAAATACTTCCGGGTTTGCCGCATGTGCATCCCGAAGTTTACGTAACCAGACGGTTACGTAAAGGGAGGTACAACTGTATTTCAATGTTAAGGACAATTAGCTTGCAAGTATGTTCCACTCTAAAGATCAACCAGCATCTTCGTAAATGGGTTTGAACCTTAAACACATTGAAAGTGCAAGGACCTCAAAAAATGTATTCGGGTGCCAGTGGTTGCTCTCTTTTAAAATCGGATTGTCCCTCATTTCTATGGCTGACAATGCATAAGCATCTTAGTGGAGCAGTCAGCATACAATGCCACTTCTACTGAAATACTGAAACGCATTTGAATCTGTACTGTGTGTATCCAGGACCAAAAGAAACATTTTTATTTTCTCATTTTGTCCCCCTGAGTTGTCTCATTGACAAAAAAAAATTGCGTAAAAGTGGGACAAGCAAGCTTGTGTTACCACTGATAGTTATCTATTGAGTGTAAGTGAATAGCTGACATGTTGCCTTGTTTAATCATTCCCTTTCTTTACACATAAAGGTAAAGGTAAAGGTACCCCTGCCCGTACGGGCCAGTCTTGACAGACTGTAGGGTTGTGCGCCCATCTCACTCAAGAGGCCGGGGGCCAGCGCTGTCCAGAGACACTTCCGGGTCACGTGGCCAGCGTGACAAGCTGCATCTGGTGAGCCAGCGCAGCACACGGAACGCCGTTTACCTTCCCGCTAGTAAGCGGTCCCTATTTATCTACTTGCACCCAGGGGTGCTTTCGAACTGCTAGGTTGGCAGGCGCTGGGACTGAGCAACGGGAGCGCACCCCGCCGCGGGGATTCGAACCACCGACCTGACGATCGGCAAGTCCTAGGCGCTGAGGTTTTACCCACAGCGCCACCCGCGTCCCATATACTGACTGTTAATGGGAAGCAAACCCAACTCTGCAGCCAATTGAGCATCCAGGGTGGTGGCATAATCATTTTTAGGACCAGTTATTTGATGCCTGTGGCAGCTGTTGAGTACACTTGTTAAATTTAAAATAAGAATTACACTGCAAGTTTCTTTTTGCTTTAGGTTCTCTCTAGTGATCCGTGTGCAGAATTTAGCTGTTGTGAACATTCACAAACACATGAGACGCCAAGGCCCAGTTCATAACGTTTGGCTTCACGTGATCCCCGGTGTGCCTGCTTAGGGGCTCATAGCCCAGTGTGAGTTGCATGGAGTTGATGATTGCCATGTGTGTAGTCATGACTGCTCAATACAGGGACCGCTTTCAGTCTTGCAAATGGCAGAACTTTGGGCTATATGACACACACACACACAGTCAGTGCTTCCATGCAGCTCAAGGCCCCATACAAGGCAGTGTCTGTAGGCTTGAGCATGTCTTGCACCACCTGAGAATGTGAAACCTATATACTTTGGTGCAAGCCTGGCTCAAGCCTACAGGCGTAGGGACACTCACTGTGAAAGCTGAAGATCTGCTTCACAACATACAAAAAAAGAAAAGGAAAGGAAAAACAACCAACATACAGTAAAAAGAAGGTATTGTCTTGAAAATTCTCTCACTAGATTCAGCAAATCGTTTAACCACTGGGTTCAGTTTTACTCAACAGCTGGAACTATGATTCCTGTTCAGGACTGAATTCAAGAACAGCATGTTTGCGTGCCTTGTGTTTTTGTGTTTTAAAATAGTTTGTCTCGAAAAGAACAGATAACACTGCTACCTACACCTTAAAAAAACCCATATCAATAAAGTTTTACAAAATATCAATGCATTTAAAATACCTGTGAAAAGTGTTAACTCCCTACCCCCCCACTTGCCCATACAGACATTGTCTAATAGTCTTAAAATAAATAGGTAATTTTATTTTATATTTAAAAAAATGCAATCAAGTTGGTTTATCTAACTAGCAAAAGAGAACATGACTTCAGCAGTGCTCAGAGGGAATCCCCACTAAATTTCAATGAGATGGGAAATCTTAATGAGGGACCAGGAAGGGCTGGAGCAGTAGTCTTTTGCCCTGCCAGTTTGGGGGTAGAAGAAGAGGACCATTTTGGGGGAGGGTCTTTTTGGGTATGCAAACTCCAGAGGGGTCCAGCTCAAGTCCCTCTCTGCAAAACAGGCCAATTTAGAATCCAGTAGATCCATGTCTGGCCCAGTTCTACCCCAAAGGGACCCTGTCCAAACTATAAGTGAGCACAGGATTCCAGCCCTAAGGTTGCAGTTTGTATGCCCACTTTTAAATATGCCCTATTGAAAGCATTGAAAAGTTCTGAATAAACATACACAGGGGTGGACTGTATAAGCGTTAAATCTGGAAAGATAATGGTCCCATGAAATATCCACAATAACTGGCCATAAAAATAGAATAGTAACCTCCAACTTCCCAACCTATATGAAGTTCAAACAAGTTTTAAAAACAAAACCCTGTTAATTCTCTTCGATATATCATTTAGCTCAACCCCCTTTACTCCCCCCATTCTCTGAAATTAGTATCTACTCTTTAACCTGATTTTAAAACAACTAAAAAGTTCAAAATAACTTGTTTTGTTACAAGACACATCCTTGCTCTTTGTCTAATGCAATAGTTGGTTTCTTCCCCGTGATTTTGGAATTGGGAATACGATAGCTTGAACCACAACTTCGTGCTAGATAGGAGCGCGCTTAATGGGGGGGCATCAGAATTTGAGGTGTTTATACAAAAAAACTATCTAACAATAAATCTTTCTGAAAGGGTTGATAGCATCTGTTCACATTTATGATTTTGCATTCCCTTTAAAGTGTAGATTTGAGAAGGTGGATCAGGGCTGACGTGCTTTGCCCCCCCAATCTAAACTCTGTGTGTGTGTGTGTTTGTGTGTGTAAAAAAATATTCAGGCCACGCTATCACTGCTTCTTGAAGAATCCTCGTTTTTTCCAAGATCAGGCTCTATAAAGTCTTCTGGTACATCCTGCAAAGGCTTTGACACATTCTCTTCTACTGGGTCCTTCTTCCTTTGACGTACCTTCTTGCAAGGCCTCACCAAAGAAAGGAACACGGCAGCCAGCAGCATCCCAGCAGCACAAGAATAGAATGCAGAGCTATAGTTCTTTGTGGTATCCACTAACATACCTGTAAGGGTGAGAGGGGAAAAAATATATATTGAAACATCATGTCAAAAGCTGCGTTTTGTACAAGCCTATAAAAATCTCTTTGTACAAGTTCATTTAAACATTTTGCAAAGTAGTCCAGAGCTGTAGCTATGGAATGCCTAAATGAAGTTTGAGGATTTTATGCAAGAGTAATTTAAAGGAAGATACTAGATATTATTATTTACTATACTAGATGATTTAAAGGAAGATACTAGAGGAAAACGCTGAGGGAGAAGTGCCACTTGTGCATAAACAACATCTCTCCTCCCCCTGCACATATCATTAACAGTAATGATGATGATGATAAATAATTGTACCCCGCCCATCTGACTCTGGCAGCATCCAACATATCCAAAAGCATCTTAAAACTTTGCACTTCTCTCCTGCCATATCCCTTCATTTGCAGGGTTAGAGTTCTGTGGGTAATTTCTAAAGCCAAAAAAAATGTATAGTGCAGCCACTACCTCCCCCAAATTACTTAGAAGATGGGCTTGCAAAAATCACTGGAAAGAATGACCCTTTTGACTAAAGTACTTCCCAGTAAGTGTACTCTGGATTTTTGCCCATGATTTCCTATGACCTCATGCTTGTAAACAGTTTTCGGAATGTTGTTGCAGTTCCTGAACTGCAGTTGTCAAGCGAGCCTTTTGCAAGCAAAGGGAATTAAAAGTCATTCTTAAAAAGAGTATTACCCCACCAGTGCAAGGCTTTCCATGCATGTTGTGGTAGCTATTAACAACCACATAGAATCACAGCTGTCTAGGATAAACAGGTTTTCTTAAGGAAGAAGAAACTACTAAAGGAAGAGGACCCCCCCCCCCTTATTTAATGTCTACTTGGAATAAGTGAAACGACCCCTTCCTGTCTTTGTGTTGTTGATAGCATCTGTGTCTTTCAATCAAATGTGTTAGCTGATGCCCTTCTCATAAGCCTTTTGCATCATTTAGATCTTTCCCCTTCGAGGAGATTGAAGGGCCCCCCATGACCTATCCCCTCTTTGTTCTTTGCTTACTTGCACTTGAATTGAAAACAAGAATGGCCTTGGGCAGTCACCTTCTTACCTGATTGTCAATTCCCACCATAATTCTTCTGAGGAGTAACACACAATAGAGATTCTGAAGCACGTTGTAAATTAAAAGTACTATACAGTCATACCTCTTGTTACGTTTGATTCAGGTTACGTGTTTTCATGTTGCGTCCCGTGGCGACCCGGAAGTACCAGAAAGGGTTACTTCCGGGTTTTGCCGCAAGCGCAGACGCGGCGAATTGTGACCCGCACGTGCGCAGGTTGTGTTCCTTTCATGTTGCGAACGGGCCTCCGGAACGGATCCCGTTCGCAACCAGAGGTACCACTGTACTAACAACAACAGTGCCAGCAGTCAAGTTGTCTTTTGTCTATCCTTGGAGATGGCTGAAATGTGTTGCGGGGAAGGGTTTTCTTTTCGCTTAGGTGTGAGCTACTTAGTCTCCAGCGAAAGGTAACCTGGATGGCAGTAATGAGGCTAATTTATTTAAGGGTGCTGATGGCAACTTGGTTTTCTGGAAAATGTGCATGTGCTGTTGTATAATGTCTTCCAAGATGCAGCCGTTTCCTTTCCAATTGCTCACCTGCTAGTCACTGTTTTCCATGAATGCTCCCATATCTCTCTATTGCTCTCGCCCTTAGCTCACTCTAGTTGTTTGAAAGCATTTGTTCCCTTTCCCAGTTGTTACCTAGCTAGAACAGAAGTTAAGAACAGTTGGGTGCATCTCATTTTTACCTGCAAGGGGTGGTCCAGCCAACCCCGATAAACTTTGAATAAATACGTAAACTCCCGCAGCAGAGGACATCTTCTCTATGCCGACGACGTCATCTTCAGCCAACATAGGGATGTGTGTGCCTGCCACTGTCCCAAGCATGAACCCGAAGTAAATGCTACATATCATTAGTCCCCAAAAATTGTATGCGAAAGGGAAGGCAAAGAGGGCAATATCCAGCAGAATGACACAGATGAGTTCAATGTAAATTTTTCGGATAGGCTTTTTGTTGAGGACCCAGCCGGCGCTGATTCTGCCAAAGACCTCGGCAATTGCCATCGCTGAGAGTATGTATGCGGAGTGGTCCTTGTTTATTCCAAGGCTCCTGCTAAGTGGAATGATGTATAGGGAAGGAGCAAAGAATCCCAGAGTAGCAAATAAACCAAAAAGTGCATAACAAATAAAGCCATGGTCTTTCATCACAGAGAAGTCTAGGAGTTGAGGTTTTGGTTCCTTGGCAGGGATGCTACTAGCTTCTATGAGCACCTCTGTGATTTCCTTTGGTGGTCCCTCGCTTTTCAGTTCTGATTTGGCATCTGCAGGCGTGTTGCGAGGTGAGGTAGTTACTTCTACTCCTGAGTCAATGGAATCTATGGAGGTGCGTGTCTGTTCATTTTCAAGCATGTATTTTGTCTCTCTCTGCTCTTCTGCTGCCGACACTCTCACTTCTTCCTGCACTTTGATTATGATGGGCCGCAGCAAGAATCCACAGGCCACAATTCCAAGCTGCAGTAGACCAACAAACAGGAGGCTATGCCTCCAGCCAATGTGCTCCTTCAAAGCAGTGATAGCTACAGATAAGAAAAAGTAAAACACATCTTTCACTGATTGAACAGGAAGCTCTGATTTACAAAGGTAACACTGAGGCTCAAGTTTTTAGGGTCAAGTTATGCCCAAACTTGTTCATGGTGTCTCCTACGCACTTGGCTCAAATATTTGGGACCAGCTTTGGCAGTATATGAAGCAGGATCTAAGATATAAGAAGAAGTTAACGAGGGACGAGGATTCATGCACCGCCTGGCCTCCATAGAACAAGCCATTTCTCACATATGCTATGCAGGAAAGCAGGGATGACGACAGTACATATCAGCTCAAACTAGGCACAGACACTGTCTGCTTGTTAGGGGGTAATCTAGTGCAGAGGTCTTACTTTCTCAGGTATGTTAACCTACACCTTCTGGAGAAAGAGATAGGGAAGGTATCTTTCTCAACTGCATCAAGGTAGAAGGCAGGCTCTCCCTTATTCTACAACACAGCTGGAGATGACACAGTTTAAAAGCAAAAGGGAGTTTTTAAAATGGCAAAAGGACTAGGAGAAAGCACAATTTATCTTAGCACGTTTGAGAAGGCTTGATGTAATCCAGCTTTTTGAGATCTCAGGTTTGGGATTTCTCAAGTGAGAAACCCTCTGGTTTCCATATCAAATAACATTTCATATAGGCTCTGCATTATTCCAAGGTAGCTGGGGTTAGCGCTTAGCGCTAATTTTAGCTTGGAAAAAAAATGTACTGGGAACCCACCAGATTGTATGTCATCGGGTTGCTATGCCCTTTAAAGTTTGTAAAAATAGTGCTAGGCTGAGAATGGGGGCGTAGGTTTGCCAGTGGTGGGGGCCGGGAATAGTCTGAATTCAAATCTAACAACCAGCAGGATAGAACATAATTACAAAGATGGGAACTTTGCATTTTCTCTTCTACATGCTTTCAAGATATAAAGGTGCTGTGGTTATAATTATCCCCCATTCTCTGTCCCCAACAATGTATTTTTGCACCTCCACACCTGTGACTTTCCAACTGACTGTTCCTGGGAGTCCACATAAGAGTGGAAAGATGATTTGGCTCTAGCAAAGGACCATGCATTCTGAAGGCCTGACATATATCTTCTCTTGACCGATTTCCTCCCAAAGATGTAACAGTTCTTTAATGGAGGTACAAGGATATTAATGATCTGTGCTTTGGTGACTTGATATTCTGAGACTAACTGCAGAAGGCATTTTGGCTTCAGATAAAAGTTCTCTGGATGCCTGGCAAGGAGCAAAATGACCCACTGAACCATTATAATCTGAACTTTGGGGAGCCTCCACAACCAGCTCAGAATTTGTGTGCTGGAACTAGCTGAAGGGGTCCAATTTCCTCTACACCACCGTGCCCAATCCCTGGATTAGATGGCCCTTAATCAAACATTTGGTGGGAGTAAGGTCACACCATTAAGCCAACTGAGCTGTTTTAACATGTATTTAAGATTCAAGTTAACATTGTGATCATGGGAAAATCTCAGAAGGGTGTTTCAGTACCTGGTGCAAAAGAGAAGACAGCAAAGCATTCTCCTGTGGAAGCTACCGCTGTGACTAATGAACGCTTCTTGTCAAAGTACTGTGACAGAATGGTGACTGTAGGCAGAAAAGCAAGGCAGTATCCTAAGCCTATAAATAAAAGCCAAACAAATGCGATTAGTGCATGACAATAGCGGAATTGCAGGCATTGGATGAAACCATTTCATTAGTGTGTGGTTTTTTAAAACCACTCTAGACCAGGGGTCAGCAACCTAAGGCCTATGGGCCACAAGCAGCCCACAGGGGTTGTTTAACCGGCCCACGAGCCACCCTGAACCAAGCTGCCTGGTCAGCGAGTCCCTGCGCTGTGCTAAACCGTGCAGGGACTCGCTTCCGCAGCGCCAGAAATAGTGTCTGTGAATGTGCAGACACCAAAAATCGCGTCTGTGCAGACGCAGACCCCGGAAATCGCATCTGCACACACGCGATCTGGCCCAGGGAGGTATTTCCGCTGGAGTGAACTGGCCCAGGCGAGGTAAACCTTGCCAACCCCTGCTCTAGACATACCACCCACAATTAGTGCTGTTGCTTGCTAAATATTTGCAAAGTTGGCCATTTCTTATTAACAGCAAGTGTAATTTTTCAAGCTATTTGAATGCATCATACCAGGCTTCTGAGTGAGGTTATCTGTTTAGTTCTACCCATCTATGATACTGTTAATAACAACCCAGGGAAGTTTCCATAAAGCCCAATAACTCCACAAACCCAACACCCACCAAGAATTAGTATTAGGAGGTGGTTTTTGCAAGATTTCTTGGCCATTAAGAACCTGGAGGACTTCCAGCCCTGAATATAAAACATTTATCGGGGGGGGGGGGGGAGATAACTGGCAATTTCACTAGACGATGGACCATGTTAACTTACCTGAGACTATGCCAATGGAGATGTACATTTCAACAACTGTGCGTGCAAAGGAGCCTGCGACCATCCCAGTACTGATCAGTAAACCTCCAATCACCACCACCAGGCGATGACCAAAACGATTAGTCAGTACTGTAGAAAGAGGAGCTGCAAAAGAGGGAAACGATTTTTTTCCAACATGTACCTCTTTCAAATTACAATAGCGACTCTCATCATATGCAATAATAAGCTTTGCTGGCTTTTTATTACCGTATTTTTCGCACCATAGGACGCACCGGACAATAGGACGCACTTTGTTTTAGAGGGGGGAGAACAAGAAAAAAAAATTCTCCCCCTCTCTGCCCAGCGCCCCTTCAGCGAAGTGGCAGGAGGCGCTGCGCAGAGAGGGGGAGAACTTTCCCCTCTTGTTTTCCCGCTCTAAAACAAGGTGCCGTTTAAGGTGCGTTCAGGCGGCTACCTTGGAAGCCTGGAGAGCGAGAGGGGTCGCTCTCCAGGCTTCAGGTTCCTTTCGACCTGCTCTTTGGGGCTGGCGGGGGGAAGCCCACCGCCAGCCCCAAAGAGCAGTTCAGGGAGCAGCGGAAAGGCGCAGCGGAGAGGCTCCTGCCATAGCCGTGCGTCACCTCTCCAGCCGGGAGAGGGTCGCTGGGCTATGGCTTCTTTAGCCCCGCGCGCGCTCTCCCGGCTGGAGAGGTGACGGGCGGCTATGGCAAGAGCCTCTATAGCCGCCCGTCACCTCTCCAGCAGCCCCGCGCGCTCTCCCGGCTGGAGAGGTGACGGGCGGCTATGGCAAGAGCCTCAACAGCCGCCCGTCACCTCTCCAGCCGGGAGAGGGTCGCGGGGCTGCTTTAGCCTCGCGCGCGTCTCCCGGCTGGAGAGGTGACGGGCGGCTATGGCAAGAGCCTCAATAGCCGCCCGTCACCTCTCCAGCCGGGAGAGGGTCGCGGGGCTGCTAGCCACGCGCGCTCTCCCGGCTGGAGAGGTGACGGGCGGCTATGGCAAGAGCCTCAACAGCCGCGCGTCACCTCTCCAGCCGGAGAGCGCTGCGCAGGCACCCGCAACCCTCTCCCAGCTGGAGGGTGACGCGCGGCTATTGAGGCTCTTGCCATAGCCGCCCGTCACCTCTCCAGCCGAGAGCGCGCGCGGGGCTGCTGGAGAGGTGATGGGCGGCTATAGAAGCTCCTGCCATAGCCGCCCGTCACCTCTCCAGCCGGGAGAGGGTCGCGGGTGCCCGCGCACGCTCCCGGCTGGAGAGGTGACGCGCGGCTATTGAGGCTCTTGCCATAGCCGCCCGTCACCTCTCCAGCCGGGAGAGCGCGCACGGGGCTAAAGCAGCCCCCGCGACTCCTCTCCCGGCTGGAGAGGTGACGGGCGGCTATGTCAGGAGCTTCTATAGCCGCCCGTCACCTCTCCAGCAGCCCCGCGCGCTCTCCCGGCTGGAGAGGTGACGGGCGGCTATGGCAAGAGCCTCAACAGCCGCGCGTCACCTCTCCAGCCGGGAGAGGGTCGCGAGGCTATGGCGTCTTCGCTCCATAGGACGCACACACATTTTCCCTTCATTTTTGAAGGGAAAAAAGTGCGTCCTATAGAGCGAAAAATACGGTATATTACAAGTGGCACTGTAGTATTTCTCTTGCATAAACCATGGGTTGGTGTTAATTTATAAACAAAGGGCCTAGCTGCTATTTCCTTTGTAAAAAAAAAAAGTGCTTTAGTTTTAGGCAAATTCCAGGTTGGCAGAGCCCCAATTAACCCCCCGGCAGACCTTTGTATTAAGTATGAAATAGCTGACACCATGTAGGTCAATGTTCCAGTGATTCAGTTTCAGTTCCATATTTGCTTTTCTTTGCTTTTCCAGAGGACCAGTAGACAAGGGCTCAAGTGAAATTTGCCTTCTGTCAGTAAACTTGAATTAAACTACCATACAGAGCAGATGCTAACACACATAAATTGAAGGGAGACTGTTTCCCAGAAGGTTAACTAATGTGATTTAATTAACTCGAAAAAACAACTGTTAATGTCAGAAACAAGCCTTCATTGTTCTGGTCCCTTTTTTCAGACTTATCTTCCCCTAACCAAAGAACTGGTTTGATTGAGTTGCCTTCTTGGGATAAACACTAAGGAGCAGTGTCTGCTGGGAGGAGATTCCTCTATTCTAGCCACACTGAAACCAGCTTTGTCCTTCACTTTAACTCTCCATGCATTACAATGGTGGAGGTGGAGCAAAAGTATATTGTGCCCAACTCTTAACACTACTTTCTACATCTTCTCTCTGATTATCTTGCCCTCTTGGTCCCTTCACTCTCTTTAACATTTCTTTCCTTTTCTGCTCTTACAGAAGCACTTCTAAATCCTTGGAAGTGTCACAACTGACCTTGAAACTTAAGCAAAATTGTGTTCTTATGCATCAGCTCTAGTTGTTAAGCCAGCCCTATAAATGAGGGGAGAAACGGAGGCTTTTAAAAGTACTCTCAGTCTGTGTATGTAAACAGGGTGTCCAGTGAACCTCTGTGTGCATTTGCTTGTCAGTGTTTGCCAACAATTAACATAGTACGTGGATACCATACATACAGTTTCTTGGTACTTATGTAGGACTGCGATATATGTGCAAAATTACAGCCGTACAACCACACGATCCTAAGAGCCCAGACTTCTACAGTGTGAAAAGGGATAGCTCAGTCAGTAGAGCATGAGATTCTTAATCTCAGGGTTGTGAGCCCCAGGTTGGGTGAAAGATTCCTGCATTGCAGGGGGTTGGACTAGATGACCCTCATGGTCCCTTCTAGCTCTACAATTCTGTGCTTCTATGAAATAATAGGTAGGCATGCTTCTCTTTGCATAGGGACCAGGCTCTCAGTTTAAACACAAGATGTGCTGCATGCTCACCTGTAAATGTTAGTACAAAAACGCATATTGAGATAATCCATGATATCCTGCTGTTGCTTTCATCAAAACTTTCCATTAGGTCTATAAAGAAGACTCCAAAAGACTTGATAATGCCGTATGTCAGGGCTTCCACAAAGAAGAAAGCAAAAGCCACAATCCAGCCCCATCCTCCATCAGGCACTTTAGTATAAACATTGGGAGCAAGGCATGACATTCTTGTTGCTTTGACAGTCATTTTTAACCTGGAATGACAGGGAGAGACAGAAACAGAGCAAGATCAGCACATGTTCTAAGAACAGCTCATATGTCTGCTTGGAAGTAGGCATACTCAATTCAGTGGGGCTTACTTCCTCCTAAGCATGCTTGGGATCACAGACCTTGTTACAAAAGGTAACTTGTCTTTTCCATCACACAGAGATTTTCTGCTTCTTTGGGACCGTATCCTAATGGAAACATTTCCCTTTTAGGATAAGATCGAACTAGTTGAATCAAGAATCAGAAAAATATGTTTCATCGTAAGGACCAGCTGGTTCCATTTAAGAACAAGCAATTAAGAAGCAGTCATCTGACTTAAATACAGTGGAAAGGAGGTAATTTAGTGAAAAACCCATGACAGACCCAAAGGCCCTGTGAAATTTCACAAATGCCGTGAAAGGGTTCTCCCAAACTTGCAGTTTTGCATTGCATAAGCAGACAGATGGCAACCCCTAGAAGGGACTCTGCATTCCATCCTTCCTTCCAGACTTGAGTTCTGTCACAGCCCAAGCCTATCTATGATTCTAGTCAGCAGTTGCACATGCTAAGGTTTCTGGATGATGTTGATAAAGGACCTACATCGTGCTGCTTGGTGTTGACTCCCAAGACAACAAAATCAAGCCAACTTGTTTCTTGTGCTGCTGCTTTATATAACTCAGGTTTATTTGGATCCAGCTAGGGACTTCCTCATTGCCATCTAGGTTTTCTACATATTGCTAAAACTTTTGAGGTAACTATTTTTTAAAAAACAAAAATAATTATGCCACTATTCTGCATCACATGCATCCACAAGCTAGGGAATTCAGACACACTTGGCAAATCTCCTTCGTTCGTGTTAGAAACTCAGATATATGAGTAAATCTCCAAAGGGCACCTTAAACCTAGGTTGCGGTCGCCACAACAGAATGTCTAGGCGCCATTTTCCTCCAATGGGGTTCTTTATTATTAATAATTTCATTTCTATATGACTTTATATTTTAAAGAAATAATCTCAAAGCAGTTAAGAGAAGAATCTTAAGTAGCACTTTGCTTTCCCCCATATTTATTTACCTTCTTAATTTATATAGCTGCCCCATAGCAGAAGTACTTTAGGAAGCCAGTGTGCTATAGTGGTTACAGCATCCGATTAGGACCTGGGAGATCAGTTTTCAAATCCCCACTCAGTCATGAAGCTCAGTGGGTGATTCTGAGCCAGTTTTGTGGACAAATGTAACCCATTATGTGATCATCTTGCTCCCAGGATACCATGCAACCAAAACTGTTTTCAGGGTAGTAAATATATTTTCAGAATGATCTGCAGAGACACTCGCCATAGAACAAACAACCCTACAATTAACTTTCTGCGTCTGGTCAGGTAGTCATAATTGAAGGGGGGGGCTGGTTCACTGGTTTGGGATTCTTCAGTAATTTACCTTTCCTCTGAGTGCCCTTAAGCTGTAGTTTCCTAGAGGCAAGGTCTGGTTTGTGTTATGAAATATTGGGGAGGGGGGTGGAAGATGTCCTTCAGCAAACCTTCATCTTGCCTCACCTGAACAGCTAGCTTTTGTTCTTATCAGTTTTACTCATTTTAATTACTTAGAAAAGTCTGTACATGAGTTTTGAAAACAATATCCAAATGCCCCCATTGTACGGCAAGTTCTGCTATACAATTATAACTGTTTCAAGTTTAACTGCATATAATATGTAATTGTTTATATATAATATATATTTTATCTTCTAGTTAGTCTAATTGTAATGTATGCAGAGTACGGTGTGTCTAAACCATTGAGAGTATCTTCAGTGGGTTTAGTTAGACATACCTTCATTTGCCTAGGATTGGGCTCTGTTGATTCTTTTAGTGGTAGTACTGAAATATCTAGTAGGTTATTTTCAGAATTGCTTATGGAGAGAATTTTAAATGCATTAAAACATGGTCAGCAACTATCTGAAAGGTTATTTTCTAGTAACTTAAGAATGAATAATATTAGCCTTTAAATGAATCCCACTGACATTGTACTTCTTTCACCTGGAGACTATAACTGGGCTGTAGATTGGAGGCAGTTTTTGAACTTGAGTTTGCAAGAGCCAAATTAAAGGAAGATTATCTTTTATCCATTCATCAAATCTAAATATATTTCAATGCCACCCTGTAGTACATCATTAGATGCAAGCCAATAAAGGTATAGAATGCTTAGTAATATGCAAAGAATTAACTAGCTAGGAACAGCAGTTGCTATCTCTAGTAAAGCCTGCAGTGCGCAGGTGCTTATGAAATCACAGGACAGGACAGTCTATGCCCCAATGATCTCATGTTTGAAGGAATCTGAAGCCTATTTTTTCAACCACTCTGTGTAAAATAAGAGCAAGAACTCTTTTCAAATTGCAGTCTTGATGCAAACTGGCTAAAAATATCAGTCCGATAAACCATATCAAGTAATGTTAGCATTGCAACAAATCCTCTGAAATACTGACTTGCAGATGAATTTTTCATCATGTGGGGCAGAAGGAAAACTACATTCATGGACTGCATTTTCGCTGTGACTGTGTAACTTGCTTGGCTATACAGAAGTTAAAGGCAATAAACTCCAGTGCATCTGCAAGGCAGGTCTGGTTTTGAGAAAATACACTCTCTCATCTCTGCTGTGCAGGACAGGCTTAGATACCAGTTTGATCCGCTTCTGAGGAGTACCATACTGTGAGTCCCATTGAGGGCATTCCAGCCTCCTGCTGCTGCTCAAGCAAAGACCCGACTACAGCCTGGGTAACAGAACTTAAGCAGCATGCCAGGTTGAATCAGGATAGGATGATGCCTGCAGAATTTGCAGTCAGAGAGAGAAGCGAGGGAGATACTTTTGGCGCCCACGTTGCGCCATGCGGTTATCCTTAATCCGGTTTAAAGCGCCTTGATACCTTGTTGGAATGCAGAGTTGTCCAGGTCTATAGCGTCGCATAAATGACCCCAAGCTAAGTTTCTTAAAGGAGGGGTGCCCAATGACAAGAGACCATACTATTGTGTGCAAAGAGGTTCCTCTGGGAGTGGGGAAAATGCCTTCTTCTGAAGGGGGGGAAAACCCCAGCCCCCTCCAGCCTGAAGGGATATGGATGAGAAAAGAGCCCATCTACTTTCCTTGTGATGCAGGAAAGCTAAGCCCTCCATATGTCTGCATCACTTTGCACATCACAATTTAGCCGGCTCCTTCAGAAGGGGCCACATAGTCTCTCCCCCCTCTTAAAAAAAAAAAGTATGTGGCAGCAAATAACGTTTAAAAAGAAAACAAAAAAAAGCTACAGCAGCAAGACAACCAAACTTCAGTGTCCAGAAGAAAAGCCACTTACCGAGTCGGTAGATGCTGCAGCTGCAACTTGGGCAGAGGAAACGGAGGAAGGAAAAAAAGATTCCTCCCCGAGCTGCAGAGCAGTGCAGCTTTGGCCTATGACCCGGTCAGTAACATGCTGAGGTGGCCTGGGAGGAACACGCAACCCTTTCTGCCGCCTCAGCTGCGAGACCCCTTTTGAAGAGGGTGGAGCCTGCGCCTCGGACAGACCCTCTTCGCTTCGGCGGGGAAGAGAGGAGCAGGTCGCTGCTCCCCCACCCCCCGTTACCCGACGCAAGGCTCTCTCCGCCGGTGCCAAGGCTGCCCCATGCCCAGCGGGGTGCACCGTCCGCGCCTAGCTTTTCGAGAAGAGGGGTCCCTGTGGGGCGCCGCTCCTCCCCTGCCTGCCTGCCAGCTAGCTAGCCAGGCGGGCTCCCTCTTCGCACCCCCCACCTGACTCTCCTCCGCCCGGTCCCTCTTGTAACTGCGGCAGTGCTGCCGCTGTGCTCGAGCTCAAGCTTTTTATACCGGCTCGAGCCGGTCTCCGCCGGCGGACCCGGCGCGCGCGGCAGCAACAGCTCAGCAGCGCCATGTGCGCGCCGGACCCGGCTTTGCAATTGCAGCGGAGGAGGGGCGGGCTGCTGCTCCCGCGTGCTCCGAGGGGAAGGCGGGGCGGCGCAGAGGCAGGGGCGCGCGCCGGGCGGCGGCACGGGGGTGAGGGCGAGAGACGCTTCAGATAGCGCGCGGGCCTCTGCCACGTCCGCTTTTATGTCGCGCCGCTTTCCCTCAGACCCGGCGGAATCTTATTTTTAATTTGCGCCGCGGGCGTTTGAGGCTCCTCGTCCAAGTAGCCCCTCTCCACAAGGCAATGCCGCTGCCTGAATGAAGGCTTTTCCTGCCACTGCCTCGATTCCCTCTTCCCCCCAAAAGCGGAGACATCATAGTCGGCCGCCTCTTCAGCCGAGTATCCTGGAGAAGGTTGGGGGCAACGGCTGGAGAGCTCGCCTGGCCAGAGTCCCTCACTAGAGCCACCTTTATGTCTTTTCTCGAAGTGAGACTGGGCATCCCTGCCACCCTCTGGGGAATGGACACCATCATGTGTCGCCTCTTCTCTCGCCCATAATACGAACTAACATTTGCCCCCTTTGCTGTGCCCTGTAAAGGCTGCTTTCCTGTTAACGTCCTCCTTTATTGGAGCCTTTGGGGGGAAAGAGGGGAATCCGCTCCCTAACTTCGCCCTGCTGGGTCTCTGGAGTGAGGTGTCCAGTTCGAGTATTGCAGGGATCGTTGGCAGGAAGGAGAGCCACTCCTTCAGCCAAGAGGAGCGCGCCCGGTTGGCCAAGTCTGCGCTGTAAGGTCCCTTAAGGTGAACTGCGCCGCAGGCACGCAAGGCGAGCAGCTTTCTGCTCGCTGCAAGCCGCCTGGAATCGTCTTCTTCCCCGTTATCTGCACGGATTTCTTGCTCTCTCTCCCCCCCCTCCCACCGCGTGTTCTGCATTTCCCTAAGAATGTGCGCGCGTGTACATCTTGTATCTGGAGGATCGGGACTTGGGAGCCGCTCCGTGCGCTCCTTATTGGCATTAGGGAGAGCAAGGATGGGCTTCATGTTCATCCCTATGCTTCCCTATTGAGAGCAAGCCCTGGATGAGAGTTAGATCCGCCTAGCATCCTCGACGGATGCTGCCCGTGCCGGAGCCCCGACGTGAGCGCTTCCCTAAGGAATTAATGCGGAGTCGCTCGCTGCTTAAGTGACAACAAAACGCAGTTCTGATCCCCCGCAGTTTCAAATCTATGGGGAGAATTTCATAATGGGTTTTCTTGCAGCTCCGCAAGACGTTTCCGACTCCAGTGCCGAGCAAGTCCTGTATAAAGGAATTGCAAACCCACAGCTTCCTTGGGGTGGGGCTTCAAAGGAAACCAATTGCTAGATTGCTACCCCAAGGGGCTACAGGACTTATGTAGTGCATAATGAACTTTTTGTGTGTGCGCGCGCCCCCCTTTCTCCCAGCAAATTTTTGTTTTTGTTTTTTAAAAAATCTGCCCCCATCAATGACAATTGTATTACGCGCGGGACCCGGCGAGCGCCTCCTAGCGGCTGCATTGCCCGGCGGCGCTCTGTCGGGCACGAGCGCGGGCGCCCTGCTTGGCGGCGGCGGCGGCGCGAGCGCGTTCCACTTTCCCAGGTTCGAGCTCGTGCCGCTGCAGCTGCTGCTGCTGCTCGAGCCGATCCGGGCAGAACAGGTTTCTGCCAGTTTGGGTGTGTGTCTGGCTGTTGCTGTGTGTGCACACACTAGAGACTCGTAATCTCCCGGAAGCTGAGCTCTCCTTGTTGCATTGGGGAATGCTGGTGACTCAGTTGGGCTGCCTGGCGGAGTGCTTTGCAAAGCGCTCTGGGCAAAGCCGGGGGGCATCCTTCCTGGCCCGGTGTCCTTTGCGTGTGTGCGCCTACACCCTTGGAGTCAGCAGTTTTGCAGTCTTCACTTTGAACCTTCGGTTCTGCCAGCAAAGTCTTTTGAATGTAGGAATGTTTTTGTTTTGTTTTTAATTCATTTTCTTTTATGGCTTTGGAACAAATAAAGCTTTAGCAGGATTTTCAGAAATATTTGCCATCTCTGCTCATGAATGACCCCTGTGAGGTTTTTGTGGGTTTTTAAAAAATGAAGTTAAATTCCTAATACCAGCTCCTAACTTACTTGTCTTTACTGTGGAAAGGGTTAAGATGTAAGTCAAAACTAGACTAATGGCCCAGATTAACCACAGTATTGATTTTTCTTATTTTTGTAATGGATGTAGAACTGCAGCAGGAGAGGGTTAACTTTTATTTAGCGTTATGTTAAATCCAGTTGAAAACTAGCCCCTTTTTAAAAAGCAGTGTGCAGGTAAATCTGCCTTTGTTTAAAATAATTTCAGGGGTTTCTTTAGAGCAAGAAACATTCAAATGATTAGTGTGGTTTTTTTCAATGGCCCATAGATCTCAGCTCTATTTTTAAAAAGTGACATTTTTTCAGTGGATTTTAAAAAGGGGATTGCTGGAGTGATTTTTGTTAAGGTTTTTCCCCCACCCCACCCCCCATAATTTGGTTTATACTGAATTATTTTTTTTACACCAGTATGTAAAATCCCATGCAGAAAACAAAGCAATATTCATAATGACGTTCTGTTAGCTGCACATTAAAAAACAAAGGTAGCATAGTTCTATGAAATGAGCTCTGATATGTTTGTTCAAGAGGCCTTTGGAAGCAAATCCTTCTTATATCAAAGGGGCTTACTTGCAGTGAAACACATAAGGCTAAAGGTCTGTGAAATATTCAATTGAAATCAATAGTTACACTGTACCTATTGGGATGTTAAACAGCAAACCAGTATTTTCATTGCAATTTCTGTAGCAAAACATAAGGCTGCAGTTATATTTCCACAGACTGGAGTAACTCAGTGGGGCTTGCAATAGGATGTGAGTAGGGGTCACAGCTCTGGAGGATTAGCTTGTTTTCGGTGTTAAAACTGTATTTCCAATTGTTACAAATGCCTTTTAACTATTAAGTAATTGAAAGGAACTAATACCATTCTGAATCATCCTTAGCTTAAAAAAGCAAGGTGGTCAACCAGAATATCTATGCTCTGTTCTCGCACAGCTGAAAACCTTACCAATACCAAAACAAAACAAACTTAACAATAAATAGGCATTGCCCTTCCAGAGTTGCTTATAAATATGCTAAAAGAATACAACTATCAGTATAATATACAGTTAAAACACAGCAGGGCAGCAGCAGTTACCATAAAAACAAAGTGATTAAAAGTTATAAAATGCCCACAAACTTGGCTTCAGGCAAGCCTCCATGGGTGTGGGAGGTGTTTTTTGTTGTTGTTTTTAGTGGGTGTGCCACAATTACTAAAAAGGCTTTGTTTGGTCACTGCTTGCCTGTCTACTACTCAGATGTAGAGGACGATATAGAGAAAGGACCTCTGAAGACGATAAACTTAGACCTTGAGTCAACTAAATCGTTGCACTAGCGGGAGCCAACACAAGTCCCACTAGTGCACAATTAATCAGTTAAATCGCACTCCTAATTAAAAATCCTAGTGGGGGCAAAATGTTTTGACCTGGCTCCTAAGAGATGCTGATATTGGTGCTTTCCTACCTTGCCTGCAGCCTCACTGAGAAATAGTGTTGTGAGTAATCTGCGTCTGCAAGATGCCAGCTTTTGAAAGGCTATAACCTGTCACAATGGAGACTCTGGCTGTACAGAAAATTGATTTCATTTCCTCAACTCCTGGCTCTCCCAGGGCTACATAAAAAAATAAAAAAAAATCAAAGGCTGATTTCTGATGTTTATTCAGCCTCTGGAAGAGAACACCTTTTGGCCTGATAAGTTATTTACATTTCAAACAAAAAGGATGACGCTGTATATGTTTTTTTGTTCCTGCGTTCACTGAATTTCTTAACGTCCTTCTCTGAAGCATGTGCAGCTGGGCTGCTTGAAGAGCAAGCTCTGGTCAGGCTTGTTTTTATTTTACCAGTTTCTGCTCTCCCCTTACACAAACACACGTAAATGTACATGTTCATATGCGTGAACATAATCCCATTGCCATTTAAAGCACTGGATTCCCAAGCCCTGTAGTTTTAATCATTGCTGCTTTTTTGTATTTCAACTCTTGACTTTGTGCCCTCCTGTAGTAAGGGATAATAACTTCATTCATCCTTGAATGGTAAAATTAAACCCTATTGGTGGAAACTTGCCATGCTGCCATGCTGATCAAACACATTGCAAAGCAAATTTTTGCTTTGCTTAATGAAGGGAGAACTTAAAAAATTTTTTTTTGTAAGGATGCCTTTGACGAGAAAACTTCTGCAGTCCAGAAAATTTCATTCTCACCAAATTTGCTAAGAGCAGAATAAATTGTGCAAATATCACACAAGTAATATTGTGGACTAGATGATCCTCTTGGTCCCTTCTGATTCTGCTATGTTACTTGAAAAACTGCCTGCATCCTTACTAATCTGTCTGTACTTTAAGATCTGTCCCTGAAGGCCTACTGAGGTGTAGGAATTATGATTTCACAGGACATGAGATAAGCCTACTACTAATTTCACCTTGCAAGAAACTCCATTTGACTTTGGTTGGTAGCCTGACCCAAGGGTCTGAGGTTCCCCACCCCAGCTATAGAGAACTTTTAAGAGTTACATGGGCATCAGGGAGGACCAAAAAATGGCTTCAAAATAGCCCAAGTAATCCCTTCTCGTCGCAATGTAGGTGAGACTTCCTGGTTCATTTTGAAGCTGTATTTTGGTCTTACTTCATTTGTCTTTGGCCTCTACCTCTCAGATATTGGCACAGCAGTCTGTTGGGAAGGATAGCACTTCACTACTTATTTCAACTCTCAACAGGAAGGCTGGTGTAGGGAGCTTGGAGTGTTCCTCAGTCTTCAATCCCTTCCAACTCGGCTAAGTTCTGCTATTTGATCCAGCTGCTCACAGGGGTTCCCAGCACCAAAGTTGAGAGAGGAGCCGGGAGGTAGAATGCAGCCATCCCTCTCTTACTTGCTCAGTTATCTCAGAATCTTGACGCACCAAACATTATCACAATCCCAACTCCCATCAGCCCCCAGCCAACATGGCCAGCGGTCAGAGCTGAAGTTGAACCATATCTGGAGGGCTTTAAAGGTCAGTACCAACACTGAAATGTGTTCGGAAATGTACTGGGAGCCAGTGAAGATCCTTTAGGACTGGTGTTATATGGTATTGGAGGCCACTCCCAGTCACCAATCTAGCTGCTGCATTCTGGATTAGTTGTCGTTTCTGAGTCACCTTCAAAGATAGGCCCAAGTATAGCGCATTGCAGTAATCCAAGCGGGAGATAACTAGAACATGCACCACTCTGGCGAGACCAAAAGTGCATTGTTTGCCGCTGAAATGTCCCCAAAGAGGAACTGGAACAGCAGTTGAATTCTCCCAGTTCTATAACTCCCTTTTGTAGATACGAATCCTAAAATTGCCACCTTATCTCCATATATATTTATCTGCACACAGATAGGTACCTGCTGTTGTTCTTCTAATGGAAGCTGAGTTTCTTGGGTCTCTTGTTTTAAAACAGATCCGACCAGAATCCAAGGAACATCATGCAGAGCTTCACTCTGGGAGACACGTCCTCCTTGAAATACTCTGTACAAACCAGATTTCTCCCTTGGTTTTTAAATGAAAAGCAAAATGATAGTAGGCTTACCCCGTTGCCAGTGTTGTAGAAACCGCTGTCCTCAGGGCTGGAGGACCAGTTAAATGCCTCTACAGAGACAATGACGGTGGATGGCTCTTCGGCTCCACAGTTTCAAGGAGGGTGATGAGGGGAGAACAAGGAAGATGCCTCTATACCCAACTCTTTTTAGGCAAATAAGCTTGGATATTTATAAGGGCTTAAACTCCTCCCCCAGAGGAATAACTTTGGAGAAGTTGCTCATCCCCCCTGCTAAGGTGCTGTCTTATATTTTTCCTGCATAAGCTAATAACTAACTTTACCAAGCTGCAGTATCTAACCTTAGATTTCACCGGCCATTGAGGCTAAGTAGGGAAACGCTCTGGTTTCCAAAAAGATCCAGGCTGCTTCCTTCAAGCTATGTAAAAATGTCTTGGTGAAACAGCTGCTGCCCAAATTCTTGGAGGGGAAGCCCAGAAGCAGCTTGGTGGTTCATTGGGTGATACCCCTTGCATTCCTGGAGATATAATGTGGGGCACTTGGTCTCCCATTGGCTGCCCACCCAGGGCATAGGCATAGTTGCAAAGTGCAGGATGAAAATAATATCAGAACCAACAGGCGGAAGGAAGTATTCCAGGCAATTGCGAACGTTTAATGTGCATTTGTTGCATAGTTCAGGGCAGGGTGAGAAACTGGGGGCGGAGTGCAGCAGAAAATTTCGGTTTTCCTTGGGCGGCAAATCTTTCTCAACCTTGATCCCATGGAATAAAAATGTAATTTAAAATACAATAATTCTACGAGATGAAAAGTACGGCTTAAGCATAGCGTGCCTTCTTTCTGATGATACACAGGGGGCAAATAATTAGGAAGTAATTGTAAAACAAGAGAAGCTGTTAGGATTTTAGAAACAGGCACATTTCTTTTGCTGTTCTTGTAATCAGGCCTTTAACTATTTATAGTTATTTATTTATATTTGTATTTATATTTATATTTGAATGTATTTTTTATTAAAAAAATTGTAGTCTTATCCATATAATGATAAATTTTCTCTTGGCTATTATCTTTATATCTGCTTCCAGAAAAGGAGGATCCAGACAGAGACCTGCCTTATAGCCCAGGCAGAGTTTTTTTACTCTGACATATGGTATGACATATGGTAAATTGGTGACAGTCAGTTTACTGATAAATAACAGTATAGACAAGAGTCCATCCTATTCAATTAA